ATCCATCCATCCCTGCATCCATCCCGCTGTCCATCCAGCCATCAATCCATCCATCCATCCATCCATCCATCCATCCATCCATCCATCCATCCACCCATCCATCCATCCATCCATCCATCCATCCATCCATCCAGCCAGCCAGCCAGCCAGCCATCCATCCATCCATCCATCCAGCCAGCCAGCCATCCATCCATCCATCCATCCATCCACCCATCCATCCATCCATCCATCCATCTATCCATCCATCCATCCATCCATCTATCCATCCATCCATCCATCCATCCATCCATCCATCCATCCATTCATCCATCCAGCCATCCATCCATCCATCCATCCATCCATCCATCCATCCATCCATCCATCCATCCATCCATCCATCCATCCATCCATCCATCCATCCATCCATCTATGCAATCATCCATCGATCCATACATCCAATCATCCATCCATCTATCTATCTCCCTGTCTAGCTTGCTAGATGGCTGACTAGCTGGCTAGCAATCCTGATATAAGGATTGTATAAATCGCAGTTGTGATTTAGTTAATCGAAAGAAGGCCACATTGGCAGTCAATTTCGTGTTCGTATTTCGATGCTTTACTTTATGTTTACTGCGTGGGAGTACATGTCCCTATCACAGTACGTGTTCCGCTCTCTTTCAGCTCTCCGTGAGGTCCTGACGCAGGGAGACTATCAAGCACTGGTCGCTGATCCAGCATCAGTAAGTATTTAAAAGAATCCGATAGAAACTTCATCCCGTTTTATTATCGTTTCGATGATTTGTTCTCGTTTAAATAAAATCGACCTTAATTTGTTCAGTTCTAATGCTAGACATGCCACTGCTAAGTCATCTTCTTGGTGCTGCGCCACATGTCTAACTGGTTGGGCAGTCATCACCTATTCGTGACGTCTCTTAGGTTTACTCTCAGCCTTACGTAAGGTAGAGTCGGGTATGTGATACATGATCTATTGCCATAACACCAGGTTGATGCCTGTAGCTTGCATTGATCTCTGATTGCCATTCAGAAGTGATCGGTGAGATGTGATGGAGTGAGTGATGAGAGGGAAGATAGTTCAGAATGCAGTCATACATCATTGGGGACTTTTACGCGAGAAACAGTATCGTTGGGTGAGATAGCGTCGTCGGGGTTGATAAAAAATGTCTAATGTCGAGCATGATCTTCTGACCCCGGCCGCTCTTCTAAAATATGCGAGTGAGGTTTGCAGGGGTGGAGCCTAACTTCAGTGTACGCCCCACCTTTTCCTCCCTCCCCTCCCTACCCCCTCCTTTTCTCGCACTTCCTCCCTCTTTCCCCCTCACTCTCATTCTTAGAGGGTAAGCACCTGCTTCTCTTTCGTTCACAGATGTGCATCGGCATTGGCATTGCCGTCACGCTGGGGCTGTCAGCATCCCCCCATCCTTCCCTCTCTCCTCTATATGATATCTCTCTCCCTCCTTCCCTCCCCTCTCTCTCGTTCGTGTAAGCACACTCCTCTCTCTTTCTCGTTCAAAGATGTACGTTGGCATTGGCTTTGTCATCACGCTGGGGCTATCAGCACCCTCCCTCTCCTTTCCTCCCTCCTCTCTATATTTCTCTCCTTCCCTCCTCTCTATATCTTTCTTCCTCCCTCCTCTCTTTCATTCGTGTAAGCACCCTCCTCTTTTTCTCTCATTCACAGAAGTATTTTGGCATCGGCATCACCGCTGCACTGGGCATCATCTTCGTCATCGTCGTGCCCGTCGTTGGCTGCGTCTTCGGCTGCTGCCGTTGCTCTGGGCGATGCGGCGGCGACCAGCGGCAGGAGCGTGATGCGAGCCGCAGCTTCCGCATGCCCGCTTACAGCGCCGCCCTCGCTGCCGCCGCCGTCATGATGCTGTGAGTTGCCCGCGGCGACTGGGGGTTGCCCGCAGCAACTGGGGGTTGCCCACGGCGACTGGGGGTTGCCCGCAGCAACTGGGGGTTGCCCGCGGCGACGACCATGGCGTCACCTTCCCCATGTAGGACGGTCGCACATTCACGATGGGCCCTGGATTTTCTTAATGCGCTCGTTGACTTGCAAAACAGTGCAAGGGGTTTTCACGGTCGAGAAACCTTTGGCGTTTTGTGTTGTGTGTTGTGTGTCGGATCGCACACGACTCCTCACGCGGAAGTGCGCTAGTCCTCAAAGGGTCGTGTAATCCTGCCAGGCTATAATGCTCTGCAGAGATGCACAACTCTGGGTAATCCTGCCAGGCTATAATACTCTACAGGGATACACAACTCTGGGTAATCCTGCCAGGCTATAATACTCTGCAGGGATACACAACTCTGGGTGATCCTGCCAGGCTATAATACTCTGCAGGGATACACAACTCTGGGTGATCCTGGTCAGGCCTATTAATACTCTGCAGGACAACACCTCTGGGTGATCCTGCCAGCGCCTCATAATACATTCTACAGGCGATACACACTCTGGGTGATCCGGCGCCAGGCTAAATACTCTCACAGGGATACACACTCATGGGTGCATCCTGCCAATGCGATAATACTCTGCAGGGATAACACAACTCTGGGTAATCCTCGCCCAGGCCTATAATACTCTGCAGGGATTCACAACTCTGGGTAATCCTGCCAGGCTATAATTACTCTGCAGGGGATACAAACTCTGGGTGATCCTGCCAGGCTATCAATAATTGCTGGGATACACGAAACTCTGGGTGATCTGCCAGCTGATAATTACTCTACAGGATACACAACTCTGCGGTTGATCTGCCAGGCTATAATACTCTGCAGGGAAAATACACAACTCTGGGTATCCTGCCAAGCTATAATACTCTGCAGGGATCATCACTCTGGTGATCCTGCAGGCATATTAAATACTCGCAGGGATACACAACTCTGGGTGATCCTGCCAGGCTATAATACTCTTCCAGGGATACACAACTCTGGGGGGATGTACCTGCCAGGCTATAATTACTCTGCCAGGATTCACAAACTTGGGTAATCCTGCCAGGCGATAATACTCTGCAGATGATACACAACTCTGGGTTTATCACTGCCAGGCTATACATACTCATACAGGGATTTACAACTCTGTGGTATCCTGCCAGGCCTATAATACTCCTGCACCAGAGATACCAACTCTGGCGTGATCCTTGCGCAGGCTATCAATACTCTTTACAGGGATACACAACTCTGGGTTGATCCTCGCCAGGCCTATAATACTCTGCAGTCGGATACACAACTTCTGCGGTAATCGCCGCTATAATACTCTCCGCAGGGATACACAACTCTGCGGCTGATCCTGCCAGGCTGTAATACTGCTACAGGAGATATCACAAACGTCTGGGTGCATTCCTGCCAGGCCTATTAATTTACTTCTGCAAGCGGATTCACAACTCTGGGTGATCCTGCCAGGCTATAATACTCTACCAGGCATACACAACTCTGGGTGATCCTGCCAGGCTATAATACTCTGTCAGTGATCACAACTTGTGTGCATCTGCCAAGCTATAATACTCTGCAGGATTCACAACTTAAACTTCTGGCTCGATTCCTGCCAGGCTTAATACTCCTGCAGGCGATACACAACTCTGGGTTGATCCTGCCACGGCCTATAATAGCTCTGGCCAGGATCACAACTCTGGGTAATCCTGCCAGGCTATAATACTCTGAGCAGGATACACAGACTCCTGGGTGATCCTGCCAGGGGCTATAATACTCGTACAGAGATTCACAACTCTGGGTAAATCCTGCAGGCTATAATATCTGCCTAACAGGGATACACGAACTCTGGGTGATCCTGCCAGGCCTATAATACGTCTGCAGGGATACAACAACTTCGGGCTGATCCTTGCCAGGCTATAATACTCTACAGGGTATACACAACATCTGGGTTAATCCTCTGCCCAGCTATAATACTCTGCAGGGATTAAACACTCTGCGGTAATCCGCCCAGGCTATACATACTCTCAGGCGGATACACAATCTGGGTTGATTCCTGCCAGGCTAATAAACTCTTGCAGGGGATTCAGCAAACTCTGGGTGATCCTGCCCAGGCTATAATTACTCTGAGGGATTCACAACTCTGGGGTGATCCTGCCAGGCTATAATACTCTGCAGGGATTCACAACTCTGGGTGATCCTGCAAGCTATAATACTCTGCAGGGACGCACGTCTCTGCATAGACGGTTGCTTGTCTCAGAGTATCATAATTCTCTGCAGGAATTCAGCTCTCTTTTATCAGATTCATTCTGTGCTCCTTCAAAGAGTCACGAGAATACTCTGCAGGGATTGCCCAAATTCTCTGCGCATAGAATGCCAGAACGCTCCCAGAGTTGAGTCTACCAGCTCACAGATATACGATAATACTCTGCCATGGATGCAAATTCTGCATTCTGTAGGGTCAGCTATTCCCCACACAAATAGTTGATAATAACCTTCACATTGACTTTGTGTCGCCAATGTATCACAGTGTCACGAACTCCTTTACCCAGGAAAATGATGATGAAGAATCAGTGTTATTTGTTTCGTACTTTATACCCCACCGTCCGTAACAACAGTAAATGCGTACATCAAAACCTGTGTTGTTGTCCATCTCTGGAGATCGGCCGCCTGTCCGTAGCGCCATTGTTTCCTTGAGCGGCAGTTTCATAAAAACCATCTATATAAAATCACCGGCCAATGTTTGCCGTTTTTACTTGATTGGGCTATCATATACAGGTTTGACGGTAAATCATTTCCCCACACTCACAGGTCCTATTTAGTCTGTAACATACTACATCATATGTATTTCATTCCTTCCATCCACCCACCACACAGGTCCCACTTAAAAAGTTCGTGTACGAAAAAACATGTTACGGGGACGGACTTTTATTATTCAATACTAATTTTGAGTCAGCAGGTATATCATTTCGCCAGTTGTATTCGCCCATCTTAGTAAAGTAAAATCGCCTTTCGGTATTTATTTATCGTATTTCTTGTTCTGTTAACGCCTAGTAACGCATGTATTTTATTCCACCCTCACCCACACCCACCCACAGCACAACTCCCACTGTCTGTAAAAGATAAAAGTACACCATAGTATTTTATTTGCCACCCCACCACCACACACAACTCCCACTGTCCTGTTAACGCTAGTAACATGTATTTTATTTCCCCACCCACCCCACACACAAACTCACTGTCTGTTACGCTCCGTAACCATGTATTTTATTCCACCCCACCCACCCACACACACTCCCCACTGTCTTGTACGCAATTATGTAACATGTGTTTCTTATTCCACCCCGACCACAGCACACTCCCACTGTCTGTAACGCTAGTTAACCATTGTTTTTATTCCACCCCACCCACCCACACAACTCCCCACTGTTCTGTAACGCTAGTAAACCATGTATTTTATCCACCCTCACCCACACCCACCCACACACAACTCCACTGCTTTCTGTGTAACGTAGTACCATGTGCTTTTATTCCACCCCACCCACCCACCACACAAACTCCCACTGGTCTGTAACGCTGTAACCATGTATTGTATTCCACCCACCCACACCACCCAACACAACAAACTCCCACTGTCTAGTAACGTAGTAACCATCGTATTTTATTCCACCCACCCACCCACACATCGAACTCCCACTGATCTGTAACGCTAGTAACCATGTATTTTATTCACCTCCACCAACCCACCCACACAAACTCCCACTGTCTGTAACGCTAGTAACCATGTATTTTAATTCCACCCCACCCACCCACACACACAACTCCCACTGTCTGTAACGCTAGTAACCATGTATTTTAATTCCACCCCACCCACCCACACACACAACTCCCACTGTCTGTAACGCTAGTAACCATGTATTTTAATTCCACCCCACCCACCCACACACACAACTCCCACTGTCTGTAACGCTAGTAACCATGTATTTTATTTTACCCCCAGTCCCCCACCCACCCACACAACTCCAACTGTTTGTAATGTTAGTAACCATGTATTTCATTTCCCCACACAGCTCCCACTGTGTATGTAACGCTAGTAAGTTACTATGTATTTTATTCCCCCACACAGGTCCCACTGTTTGTAACGCTAGTAAACATGTATTTTATTCCCCCACACAACTCCCACTGTGTTTGTAATGCTAGTAACCATGTATTTTATTCCCCTTCCTAACTCCCACTGTCCGTAACGCTAGTAAACATGTATTTTATTCCCCATCTCAGTTCCTACAATCCAACGATAGTACGCATGTATTTCATTCCCCACCACATATAGCGCCCACTACCTCTAACAATAGTAAAGCGTGTTTCATAAAGAGATGATAATACTAGCTCTTGATAATGTTATTTCTCCGCACGCAGCTCGGCTGGTGCGTGCCTCCTGGCGGTCAATGATCGTCTGGCGACTGTCCCGCAGGCGGTGGTTACCACGGTGAGCAACAACATTGCAGACGTCGACGCATTCGTTGACACCATGATCGACGTGAGTGCTGCGTGCGGTGAAGCTGTCGCTAGGCGTGCGTGCGTGCGTGCGTGAGTGCGTGCGTGTGTCAGTGCGTGCGTGCGTGCGTGCTGCGTGGTGATGCCATCGCTAGACGTGTTAATATTAGAGATTTATATGTGAGTGCTGTGCGTGCGTGCTGTGTGTGTGTGCGCTTGCGTGCCTGCGTACACGCAAATACGCACGTAAGTATATATATATATATATATATATATACATATGCAAGTAAAATCACACACGAACACCCATGTAGATAAAAAAGTCAAGTAATAGATTAAAATGTAGCGTGTTTAAAATTTAATTAACAAGGTTTCGAGATGTACATCTCTTCATCAGGTAATGAATGTCTGCTGAATTACCTGATGAAGAGATGTACATCTCGAAAGCTTGTTAATTAACCCTTAATCTATTATTTGACTTTGTTTATATATATATATATATATATAAAGGTGGCAAATGCCAGCGGTAGCCCTGGTATATATATATATATATATATATATATATATATAGTATTTTATATTTGCATGCTTGCCTAAACCAACACTTGCTTGTAGGTTCCTAGCTGTGGACTATGTCGACTAACTGTGAAGTGATCTTGAATAATTGTTGAAATTGAAATTTGAATAATTGATCAAAGTATTGTTTTTCCGTTACAGCAAATTTACTACATCACCAGAGATGACTTGACATTCACGAAAGATCTTCTGTTTTCGGATTTAGATAGTAAGTGCATGACCATAAAGTGTTATTTCCTATGAGTGTATAGTGCATACACGTTGCAGTGGCACTATACAGTGGATAATTAATTGTAGTGTACTAGATAAATGAGTTATAGATAGGTTATATATAGCATCCTGAAATTTCAGATATTGAAGCTCAGCTCGGAGTGCCTATGAAGACAGCAATAGAGTCGGAACTTGGGCTAGAGCATGCACTAAACGCCGTCACAAGCTTGGCAGAAGGTAACTCAGCTTCCTCGCGCTAGTGAAGTTATTAAATCTTCTGCAAATTAATATTAGTGTAGGTGCACAAGTCTACTTTGTTGACTTCATCAATGATTGTATAATGTATTCATTTCCGCTGCGATAACTTCTTAGGCAGGAAGCTCTTTATCGTCGTCATCATCATCATTATCATCATTATCTCATCCATGTATTAATGTGTGTAGCCGGTCTTGCTGTTTGAGTGCCAGAAATACTCGCCTGCTGGTGAACAGTAAGCCATGGCTTGGCACTGTTTGTGAATGCACCACTACTTGCGAATGCATTTATTCCAACGCGCGTAGTGTCAAGCAGTGGACAGCTGTAGAGTTGATGGCATTAACTTTCCCCTCTCGCAGCAGCTGTGGATTTGATCTAGCTGCCTGGTATAATTGACAAGTCGCTCTGTCCAATCGGCTCTCCCTTAGGTAACGTGCCCTAGTGTGTCTAGACAAAGCTAACTTTCCATTATTTTTGTTCCAGCTGTTGATAACACTGATGCCGTGAATGATTGATGTCTATCCACTCATGCAGCAATGGACAATCCTTTTGATTGATTGATTGATTGATTGATTGATTGATAGTTGCTTGTCTCAGAGTATCATAATTCTCTGCAGGAATTCAGCTCTCTTTTATCAGATTCATCTGTGCTCCTTCAAGAGTACGATAATACTCTGCAGGGATGCCAAATCTTTGCGCATAGAATGCAGCAACCCTCCCAGAGTGAGCTACCGCTCACCGAATACGATAATACTCTGCATGGATGCCAAATCTCTGCATGTAGGGTCAGCTATTCCCCACAAATAGTATGATAATAACCTCACATTGACTTTGGTCGCCAATTATCACAGTGTCACGAACTCCTACCCAGGAGATGAAGATGAAGAATCAGTGTTATTTGTCTCGTATTTATACCCCACCGTCCGTAACAACAGTAAATGCGTACAATCAAACCTGTGTTGTTGTCCATCTCTGGAGATCGGCCGCCTGTCCGTTAGCGCCATTGTTTCCTTTGAGCGGCAGTTTTCATAAAACCTCTATATAAAGATCACCGGCCAATGTTGCCGTTTTACTTGATTGGCTATCATATGCAGGTTTGACTGTAAATCATTTCCCACACTCACAGGTCCTATAGTCTGTAACGCTACTACATATATGTATTTCATGCCCCCACCTACCCACACACAGGTCCCACTTAAAGAGGTGTACGAAAACATGTTACGGGGACGATTTTATTATTCAATACTAATTTTGAGAGCAGTTATATTTCGCCAGTTGTATTCGCCACTTAGTAAAGTACAATCGCCATTGGTATTTATTCATCGTATTTCTTGTCTGTAACAATAGTAAACATGTATTTTATTCCACCCTCACCCACACCCACCCACACACAACTCCCACTGTCTGTAACGCTAGTAACCATGTATTTTATTCCACCCTCACCCACACCCACCCACACACAACTCCCACTGTCTGTAACGCTAGTAACCATGTATTTTATTCCACCCCACCCACCCACACACAACTCCCACTGTCTGTAACGCTAGTAACCATGTATTTTATTCCACCCCACCCACCCACACACAACTCCCACTGTCT